TATCTGATCTCTGCTTCTACCAGAAGTGTGCCTAGGCAGAACAGAATTCAGCCACCTAACGAAGTCTTGAAACGCTATTAGCATATCATGGCACTGATCTTAATGAACGTCAGAGGCTGATAAAGTTGTCAATAGCATAAGATTCTAAGCACAGTGCTGACATGCGCCTCGTATCCAAGGATCTGAGAACAGTTTGAATAATGCATGGAGAAAAATAAGCGAAACCAAAAATATTCCATAGTGTGTAACAATTGCACAACATCAAAACAATTACCATTTGCTATGACTTCCACCACTTTAATACAAACTACCACTCTAAAGCATAAGTAAAGTAGACATTAGTACTACTAGAGTAACATTCCGTTATGAATCTGAATTATCAGCAAACAATCAACCATTTTATTTTTGCTGAAATTTCATGGACGAAATGTAGATATGTTCAGTGTCTTGTTGCCACGTTTTGAAACTGCTACATAAAATGCAAAAGTACTATACTACGTTAAAATAGATACAACTCCTGAGTAAACGTGAATACATTACAACTTTACTAACTAGCTTTAGCTAATTTTACGGTAGCTTTCCATGTTACAATGCACTAGATCATCGCTAGGAAGTTCCTAACTACAAAAATTTTCAGATGAAGCGAATGTCATCAATGCAATTGTTTTAACATTATGCAATAGTAACGTATAACGTTAGAGCACGGTACTATTTCAAAAATATCGTTATTCGACAGTACTGTAGACTACTACTTTAACGTGTTGTATTAGTCTATTTTGAAACTGTCTAGATCAGTACAAAAAAGTTTTCACAACTGCTGATATTTCTAAGATCAAATGCCAGTTAATATGAAGTGCCACTACCTTCATATTATGGAACAGTCACGTAATGTACCGTACTGCTGCCAAAACTGTAACAATACACATAACAGCAGGGTAAAAATCAGCTAAAACTCTAAAATGGAAGTAGAGCAGGACAGGTCATTAGTCTAGTGTAGTAAACTGTTTCAAAGTTGTCCAAATCACCAGACTTTTATAACAACAAAATTCTCAAATGCAGTGAAAATATGGCGACAGTGCAGTCCCATGATACAACTGCTAGTTATAACGCAGCAGTACAGTACTATTATAAAACTATTATAAACAGCATAGTACTCTAAAGCAGAAGCACAGTAAGTAAAGTACTGGTCTAAATTACTAGTCCATTGCGAAGTAGAGTAGAACATTAGCCAGAAACTTTCTGTAACTGGTAAAATATCTCAGATGACATGTCAATGTAGCAAACGCCGCTGTCTGCACAGTATGCAGTTGTCGCATATAATCAAATAAACTGTACTACTTTGTTAAGGTCTACTATTCTAGAGTAGAAGTAGAGCAGGCTAATAATCTAGAGCAGCAGTATATATTAAAGTAATCTGAATCACTGGGCCATAAGTTATTTAATAACTGCTGAAATCTTCAGATAGAATGTAAATGTGGCAAATGCCACTGCTTTCTTATTATGGAAATGTTTCGATTAATATGACAGAATTGAATCATTTTAAAATAAACGAAAATCGTAATGTACAACAAGCAGCGTAGAGTAGTGCATTAACTATCGCAAGCACATGGATTAGCTGATCACTACGTCACTCAGTCTAAAGATGAAGAATGCAAGAGGAAAACTGCAAGGAACAAAACACATACTTGTAACGAACAGTTGGACAGTCCGTACGTGGCGTCGTTCAGCACGGCATTGTTCTTAACAGGCACAAACCAGGAGGCAGGAAGCGTCGAGCGGCACGGATAAAACGCAACAGGGCGCGCCTTGCTGTTACACATGGAAGCCGACTCTTTCGCCTCAGCATTTTCTTCTTTTTTTGAGGAAGAAGATAAAGAAAAGTTGTAGAAGCTTAGAGAACCATGGCCAGAGGAGGTCGTGAGGTTGCCAACGTAAGCGCAGGCGTCGTCCGACTCAGTCTTCCTGCCGTCCTCGTGTACCTGAGGCACTTCGGCTGGTAAAGAATACAGGGACAAACGCTGTCGACAGACGGCGTTGGCAGAAACAGGACTCTCAAACCGAAAGGAAGCTCGGCCGCCATTGGCCTCCTCGTCTGATGACGTCATCGGCACAGTTTTCTTGTCAATATTCGATGAGGTTCTGGAAGCGTTGCTGCCCGATACGGAGCCGCTGGTAGTGAAATGTTGGCGGCTGGGGGTCACATCTAATCTGGACATCTTATGCGCCGTTGTTGCATCCAAGGACGATGAAGAACCACGGATCAACGCCGAGTGTTGAAAATCTGATGACGAAGAGGGGGCAGCCGTGAGGGTGGTAGACGTTGTGGCGCTGCTGCAGCTGGAAGTGCTGCCCTTCGTTTGACCGTGTTTGTGACGCTTGCGGATCAGGTAGAGAATCACCTCGTCGGCGACGGACGTCGAGGTGGTAGAATATGAAGAAAGGGACGACGATGAGGCTAGGGTAAAGGAGGATGAAGCGATCGATGTGTTGGAGTTCGTCTCTTTGCCATGAGAAATTCGATCACCTGTCGACACTGAATTTTCGAAAAGCAAACGCTCGAGCAGCTTCCTCTTCGTCCGTTCGGCCAACAGCAACTTCAACAACTTGCTTTTCGGCTTATGCTTGCCGTGCCGGTCACTACGACTCTCGGGACTGAGCGAAACGTCGCTCAAGCTCAACCCGATCGTTTTGAACGAGGCGAGGGTGGACTCCTCGCCGATGCTTGAACGCCGCCCAAAAACACTCATAACGCTGTCGTTCCCTCTCGCGCTATCTTCGTCAGAAATCTTCTTTGATGGCGGGGCAGCATCGGTGGAAGAAGGCAACGGTAAGGGTGACGATGAAGGCTGAGAGAAGGAAGTAGTCAGAGGATTCGTCGTTTCGTTAAACGGATACATCGATCTGTGACCCACTCGTACGTCGCTGCCTCGTTCTAGACATGAACGATAGAACGGGGCAATTTCATGAATCGACATTTCGCGGTACTGCTCGGTGGACCCCGCCATGGGCCTGTTTTCTTTATGCTCCATCAGTGCATACCTGTGATACATCTGCAACAAGTCAATGATTAACGTAAGGATTAAAACTTCATATAAATTTCGAAAAGTATATCAGACTGAATGAGGAGAGCTGAAAGTGACGAATGAAGGCGAATTCAAGCATAAAAACAGGCTCAGTGGAAGCACGATATTATTATGCGAAACAAAATTTTAAGCAATGTCATCATTTATATGCTGGTCACCCTGAGAAAGAAAATAAACTCTGCATTAAGAACAACACTAAGACCATGACTTTACTTTACATCACCTGCCCTTGGTGAAAAGTGCAGATTCTGTATTGGGGTCTACTGCGATGGTAAGCTGTCCATGCTTTTACCCACGTCTGAGTACTTCTGCGTGTTTTATAGCAAACTGCGAGTGCATCACTCTGTATTCTGGGAATGGTGCTGCACGGGGTTGACCTGAAATCTGAAAATAGTTATGAATGTAATGTTCAGATGCTTCATATGGATAGCCACAGACGATTCCTGAACATCATATGGCATAATTTCATCCAAAATGTATGAACTGACTGCCCGTTCACCCCTCCCTCCCTACAAACTGGATGTGGCGTATATATCAACATATATTCCTCTCGACAGCGCAGCCCTACTGGCTGCTATCCAGACAAAAACACGTAGATGAGACAGCTAGAACTAGCTAGCCCATCGATTATAGAATGGTTAGCCGTTGTTCTCTGAAAAAAACGGTCCAAAGCCGAGCATGACCACCGACTGATGATGAGCGTATCTGAAAGCAAGATACAAGTCATCAGTTATGCTCAAGATCAGTAACAACCAGTTACAAAATCATGGAACTCAGTACAATGTCTGCAGAGGAGCAACAGTTGCAAGAAGCTTCGGAATTTGTGTACCTCAATGCGCTAATCTTGCACAATGAAGAATGCACCCATAGCACCCACTATGTGAGATAACAATAAAAAATGTCATTCTCCGTTCAAAAAAATGACCACGCGAACGTACTCAAAGTTTGGAATATATGCATTTAGTTTGAATTTCCCAGATATTAATCATCCAAAAAATATGCATCTTCATTTCCTAATATCACCAAGAACATTTAATATGTCCAGCTCATCAGTCTCATCATGAAAAGCCTTTCAGAAATAATATGGATTGTAATGTTCAATCATTAAGCGAGTACACTTCAGATATTTACACTGGACAAAATTCCTCTGTATATAGGTCCAGATTTCGTTTGGAGTTTCTAGCTTTCTTCAGCCAAGTAATCAAACTCACTGATAAACCATTCATGTAATGAAACATGAAAAAGTCCATTTTATTTAATTAATATTCGTAAAGTTCAATTTAATACCGGTGTTTAAATCTCCTTGGAAGCCTGAATAACATCTGCTACTGAAACTTTCAACAGTCCACTTCATCAGAATTCAAATGAGTTTTCATAATCGTACTTTAATGCATCACAAAATAAATTAATGCGTAGCGACTCATTGGGAGGGGGAGGTGTGACAAATTGTCCCGGTACATGCAGCTCTACGTACAGCCATCTGCGGAAAATTCGTCATCATTTTAATGTTGGTTTTGTTTATCGTTTCATGACCGATCGTCATCCGTGACGTCGTTATTTTTTCATGAACCTTTACGCTGCGGCACTGATAACCACTCTCTCCATAACACCAGTAGGTGTTCATATCCTTTCTTTATGGCTATATCCAAAACTCGGTGACCACAGCATGTAGTCTATTAGACTTTTTTCCACAAAGTTGTACTCATCTGTTTCGGAGGAAAGACGAGAACAAGACCGGGCCTCGAAGCCGATTCTGAGCAGCCAAGGTTTGTTATTCTTTGGTCGTTGTCAACTATTCAAGTCAATGCGCCATTGCTATGGTACGTACGAACTACTGAAATTTCAGTAAGTTTACACAATGAGAAGGTCAAAACAGAATTATGTAACAAACAAAAGAGAAGATATGTACTACGGAACCATTCATGAGAAGGAAGTGAGATAGACAGATAAAACATACAAAGTAGATAAATAGATAGCTTTCGACGGCTGCTTTTCCGATTTGAGAAAACATTGAACGGCGAAACAAACAAACTAGGCAGTCATTATCCTGAACAGTGGAAGAACTTTTCACCGTTCCGAAGACAGGGTTATAGAAAAAAAATCGCCTACAAATAACTTTCGTTTTACATTAGACGTGTATTACTTTTTCTATCAATGACGCAAACTTTGCTTTCTTTCGTGTAACTTTACCACAGGAAAATTTTCACAGCTGCTCAACCTGCTTCTACGTGACCGCATGCTTCGCAAACCGTCCTATTCCTGTGTTCATCAGCTGAAACTGACACATAGCAAAAACCAATGATTATTAATGACAACTTTAATATAATTTTAAAATGAAATAGGTCTTTCAAAATCCAGTTACATGCTGTCAGAAAATTCTGCAATATTCAGTGATCTCCAATCTTTTTAATAGTACTTTAACTAAAATACTTACAGTAAAACATGATGCGTAAGTATTGTCCAATGGAAACCGTTAAGATCCCCTTTAACAGTAATTTTTTTAATTGTTTCTAATTTCGTGTTTATTAATCATAAGAAAAGAAATTACATGAAAATAAAACTATCAGATTTTGAACTTAAACGCAATAGAATGTAATTCTAGTCATCGCGCTTAGTGTAGGCGGCAGTGTCAAAAACTCTGTTTTGCATCCATTTTTCTTTCATTTTCGTTTTCTTATACTGTTATTCTTTAAGCACGTTCTGGTATTCTTCTGATATTATCTGATTCTTTATCGTATTTTATTTTCTACCGCCAAAAATGAACGTTGATTATCCATTGCTTAAAAAAATAGGTCTACTTGGAACTGGCAAGCAGGCGGGCATGTTTCAGACGCAGAAATTGGGGGGGGGGGGCATTATCGTAGTTCCATAACC